CTCATTCCTGCCGAAGACAATAGGGGACTGGAACAAGCTTCCAAAAGCAACAGTTGAGGCAGCTACACTAGACACATTTGTGTCTATTGCCTCCTGTATTCCAACCCCCAGTTCATAACACCACTGCTGAGTCGCCCTTGCAACCAGTGAAGTATCCCATTGAAACCCATGGACAGTAACATCGCAAACCCCTCTGAAACATAGGAGCCAGAATGATCAATTCATTGATCGTGGGCCCTTAAAATAAAGAAGAAGAAGATGGGACAGTAAAAAATATTTTCTCTTTAGTTCATTAGGTATGTATCCATCATATAAAATCCATGATTTACAAATTATAAAATATATATTTTAAAACCTTTATTTTTAATTTTTTTTTGTGCTTAGTGACATGGTTCTATTGTTCATAGAATTATTTTAAATTGTTGCATTTAAAATTCAACTCAAGAACCTGGTATGTGAGTGCAGATCTTCATTTAGTCCTTTCTCTTTTTGTATAGTGGATGGCTGGGGCATTCCAGCACTTTCTGCATGGGGAACATCTTTAACTGCTATTTTTTCTTTCATCTGATGCAACTGGCCAAGATTTTCAGCCGGAGTTGCCATCTGAATTAAAATCAAATTTGCAAATAAAGATTTTTATTAAAACTATTAAACTGATATTTTCATAATGTGCTAAATGAAAAATAAAGAAAAAAATATGTTGAATCTATCATGACCCATTCAAAATGTATGATATATTTAGAAATAAACTTGTGGCTTTCAAAACCAGCCTTTTTTTTTTACAATGGTTGGTTTTTTTAAATTAAAATGAAATATCAAATGCAAAATTAAACATGTTTGGTAGTTGGCAGAAGGACATATAATTAGCCTCACAGCAGTAGTCGTAATGTTAGAATGACTTATAATTAGCCTCACAGCAGTAGTTTTAATGTTAGAATGACTTATAATTAGCCTCACAGCAGGAGTTTTAATGTTAGAATGACTTATAATTAGCCTCACAGCAGTAGTCGTAATGTTGTCTTCCTCAATAGTTGTCATCTCTTGTTTCACGTCTTCTCTGGGAGAGCAAAAATGTTTCAATACAACAGACTCAACCTTTTGCGTGAACCACAATTGATCTGTGGAAAGTCAATGTTTAAAATATAAGAATAGTAATAAGTTAGACTTACAATCTTTTAGCAAGATGATGTCAGGAAGGATGAAAAATGCCTATAGTATTTATTTGAATATCCCATTCATTGCATCCTGAATCAAGAATATATTTTGACTCAAAAAATTTTATTTAAAAAATTAACCTCTTGAAGTAATTTATCAGAAAGATATAAAATTACATCAAGGTCTATATTTATTACTTCCATTGCTTAAATTTACTTAATTTCTGGTTTAAAATTGCACAGAATTTTTGCCAATGGTTTGCAGCACAGTTATTTTGTCTTATCCTATTGACCTTATTAGTCAGAGTTTTATAGGAATTAAAAACCCAGTATAAGATATAAAACAGATTATTTATTATAGAGACAATTGGTTGCGTACCTTCAGTGTGGAGAATCCTGTCCCCAAAGTTACGAGTGACTTCATGGCACCATAACTGAGCAATAACTTTCATCATAGGAGCAGAGCTCTCAGAGTCACTTGTACGATTATGCCCTTTCTCACCTAAAGAATCATTTCAATGTTTAAAAGATATTTCAATAATTTATTACATAGCTTAGATGCATCACATCATATTTCAAGTGTAATAAAGAAAACAAAACAAATTAAAGTAAAGAAAAAATTTAAGTGAATTTTTAGAATAAAGTAAAAGTTGAATGTTGTCTAAATGTTTAAAATTTTGATTTATATCCTATTGCTTAAAATATCTTGAACCTTTTTTCTTTGTTTTTCCTTTTTTGATGTGAGTGCGTGGTGACATGAGCTGCATTCCTTGCACAACTTTGTTTATATCATGCAGAGAAAATATATAGTGTGCCTGGGATGGGCTTGGCCTGAGTTTGTCTTTGACAGATTGGTGCAGCTCTAATAAAGCTTGACACATTGCCTGAAGGAAACAATATAAATAATATCTTTTCAGCTGACAAAAAGGGTGCACAACTTTTTAAATTTATTTAGTACAAGTCATCTGTTAAATCAGAAGGAAAAAATTAACCTATAAACTTAACGTCAACCAGTGCTGTCAATAGAGGGAAATACAATTTGTTACGAGGAATCAATAAGGTTATGGAACCTATGCTCATTCAGTGTGCTGCTCAACTGTTTTAATTTAATTAGTCTTCTGTAATACAAGGAAAAGTTACAAAGAGTTCTTATAAAAGACTTAATGTAACCACATCATTTTCCAAGACTTTCCTAATTTGCAGATTTTTTTATTTCTTCCACAACCTCAATAAAACAGATTGCCATATGGTCAAATTATTCCATGCCTATGGCATTGTCCAAGCAAATTTAAAATTTAACTTTTAAAATACCCTGGCAAACTCTGTGTGATGCTCAACTGAATAGGTCGGGAATTCTTCCAGCCATGTTTGTAGAGGCCTTGAAAACAAAGTCACCAGCGCATCTTCAGATGGAGTAAACACTGTTAGGTTTACGAAACGTCTGGTGAGACGAGAGGTCATAACTTGACAGGCCAGGCCAAGGCCAGTACCTGGAAAAAAAAAAGATTTTATCACAAAAGATATTGTACCAGTGGTTGAACCATCATGTCCTTTTAACTCTTTACATTCCTTGTATTCTTTTTTCTTGAGATTTCTAGCCAGCCCACAAGAGTAATTTAATTTATAATCCATGTGTAATTAGCCCTCAGTAGTAGACTTTGGTGTTGCATCCAGTAGGCTACTGTAGGAGTATCTCCCCTTTTGTTTTTTGTAACTGTCAACACCAATTAACTTGTCCTTGCTTACGCCAGTCATTGTCTGATCACTCCTTTTCCCCATCTTATTAGACGGTACTACATGGTCTTAGAGAATGCTCACTTGACCTTCTAGCTAGAGTTTTGATTCTGGAAACTTCTCCCCCCTAGACTATAATTTAAGACAGTAAACTGTGACCAATAGAGATACAAGAAATAAAAGACCTGAGAGACTTACAAGACTTTCTCTATGTGTGTTACATTTCTATAACAAACATATTCACATGTTATAAGTTAATGGAGTTATTATTTCTATAGATCTGATTTTGTGCTTTGATATCAGAATTGTTAGCATAAAGAAATTGTTACATGTAGTTAGCACTATTTGTGTTATCGTTCTTTCTTTAGTATATTTAATGAATGGTATCACCCTTTTATTGTGTACTGTTTGCTAATGATCAATTTTAAATTTTTTAAAATCAAATTTGTTAAATCTGATTCTGATACATAACACTATGTCTACAGTTCATGATTTGTAATAAAATGCTTGAGGCTCCTAGAAATCTTTGAAGTTGTGAGAAACATAATGCATAATTTTGTATGCTAATGTGTAATAAATTGTTTAGGTGAAGAGAAAAAAAATACCTGGAATTTTTTCATTAAATCTATTTATTCAGAAAGGAAATTCATTATGAGCCAAAAAACCTGTGTCTATAAAGTTATGCTTTTTATATAAGAGAAATTAAAAGTTAAGCTAAACAAAATAAGAATAAAAATTAAAAGCAAACAAATTTTCTCCACATTGTGTTGCCAAGTAAGACATGTACCTGGTGCAGATGGTAATGTGGTGGCAGCAATAAAAGCTGCTTCTTTTGTCCTCTGAAATTGCTTCCTTTGCTTGTCATGCATTCCACCTGTTGTGAGAATACTGCGCAAAAGTTCATGGGGTGGCTGGTACCCTGAAAGTTCAAAAATAAAAAAAACTGATGCAATTAATTTGTATGGAAATTGTTTTAGGTTAGGTCTATTTCCCGAAGTTAGCTGCAGAAGCCTTATATTGCAGTCTTCAAAAATATCTCTTGATAGTTTCTCTTCTCTTATTTGATCACTAAGACATTAAAGCTGCACAAGGAGCACCACAAATAAAATTTCATTACTTCCTATGTTGGGAGCCATGCTGAGGTCATCCAAAAAGAAAAGATGCCTTGGCTGGTCCTGGTTACCGGCTGCTCCGCCAACTCTTGTAATGTTCTTGTTCTGAACAGCTTGCACGTGAGCCAAGATCAGATCCTGCAGGACACTTGAGGAAAAACCTTTTGACATATTGACCATTGTTGATGATGTTTTTGACAGGACCATGCTCTGGTATATGAAAATGATACAATACAAGATAAACGTAATACTCACATACTTTTATATAACAAGATAAGACAGTTTTAAACAGCATACAGAAATATAAGGGACATACTGGCAGACTTGATGACCACTTGACAACCTGGTATAAATATGTACACATACATTATCTAAGGCTTCATTTTTGTGAACGCAATCTTGCAGCCATGTCTTCAACAATTAGTTTAAAAAAGTATAGTCTAATAAACTCTCATTTTTTTTTAGAAAACTCCAAGTTACCCCCCCCCCCAACTCATTTCCCTCTTTATTGTCAAAACACATACATTTTCTAAGGCTTTTTTTTTTTGAACGCAATCTTGCAGCCATGTCTTCAAAAATTAGTTTAAAAAAGTATATTCTAATAAACCCTCCTTTTTTTTTAGAAAACTCCAAGTTACCCCCCCCCCCCCCAACTCATTTCCCTCTTTATTGTCAAATCTCTTTCAGAAAAGCTTAAATAGGGATATGTTAATATATATATGGCCATTTTCAATTTTATCAATTTAGATACTAAATAATAGTTGATCAATAAATGATTTAACATTCTCACCCGCACTAAAGAAGATTTGCCAACACCTGGAGCTCCAGCAAGTAGAACAGGTTGATTGGCAGATATCAGAAGTTCTAACAAGTAAGCATAACGGTCAACCTGAACATAGTTAATTATAATCATTTGGGAAAATAAATTGGTACAGTTTTAACAATAAATATTTATACATACATATTTATACATTTAATTATAAGGCACACAAGAATTGAGGGAACTACATTGTCAACCTTTGGTTTTAACACATAAATAAATTTTTTAAATAGTTAAATTTTTATCCTGAAGACACAGAATTTCAGAGATAGTGGGCATTCCATCCTAAGGTAATAAATCAAATTATACTCTTTTTTTTTTCTCCACAAATCATAAATGTACCTCAGGGGTCACATAAAAGCCTGCTAGATTTTTTATACGGTCTTGTTGTTGCCTTTCACTCCACTTAGCAAAACCTGATGTTTTCTCATCAATATAGTAGTCATAGACATGTCCTGAGATTGGCAGCTGCACAGAGTGTGTGGCACGGTAGAGTGCATCATGGGCAAATTTGCTAAAACTTTCTTTGTATCTATTAAAGTAAAAATAAAATAGAGAAATTTAGGAAATTCTAAAATTTATAAAATTCTTAAACTAACAGCATAGGTAACAAAGTACTAACAATTTTAAACCATTTTTTTAAAATAGAAAAAGTCAAAATTTCACATTGTGTTCATTTAACTTGGACTCAAAAGGAATGTCACAAAATAATTTATTTATGATTTGCATAATTCTGATTGAAAACAATGTGCAAAAACAATGTGTGAAAATATTGTCAGCAGAAATAAAAATATCATCATCCTAAACCTGGGAAAGGTGCACATACCTTTTTTTTTTTTTTTTTTTTTTTTTTTTTTTTTTTTTTTTTTTTTTTTTTTTATTTTTTTTTTTTTTTTTTTTTTTTTTTTTTTTTTTTTTTTTTTTTAAATATTATTTTAAAATTTTGTTCTAACCGGTCATGTAAATGGCCACCAAAAGCCCAAATGTAGGCAAAAGCAAACATGTTCTTTAAGTTCTCTTGATAATTAGGAAGAACAGCTTCTATCTGAGATGTATTTGTCAAACGACTGCCTATATTTCTGGATTGTGGTGGGGTGTCTTCCTTAACACTGGTTGGAGGTCCTGAAAAAACAAATTAAGATTTTTTTGCATAAATATAACTAATGACTTTCTAAAATAACTTATTTGAAAAATAAAACTAATAAATGTAGAAAACTCAATAAAATAATTATACACAGAACATTTAAATAAAAAAATTAATTTAGAAAGATAATAAAATATTTAAATTTAATATATAAAATATCAAAGGTAGAATTGAATTTATTGTTCGTTTGGATATATTTGATAATCTAATTAAGTATTAAAAAATTTGAAAGTTGCAAAAGTCTATAAATTATCATGTTTTTTTTAAGGCCAATGAAAAAAATAAGGACCTTCTCTTCTGACTTTCTTCTCAATCTCTTCCCGGTTCATAACTCGGTCCAGCAGAGCAGAAAAAATGCTGATGAAAGCTGATGTTTCTGTGACACCAGGAGTGACACTGTTAGCTGCAGTAGCTTCTCCCCCTACATCCGTCAAGAGTGCAGTCTGGCAGGTCTGGGTGAGAAATTTTATTGTAGGGGGAAACACATCCTGAGTAATTTCATCCAACATTTTAAGTCTGTTTTAAAAAAAAAAACAGAGCAATTATTACAAATTGATTAGGTGCCTAAAGTGTTTTTAGTTATATTTCACATGCTGATTCTAACATACATGTTTTCTCCTAACTGTTTTAGTTTTGCAGAGACTAAACATATGCCATTTTGCAAGCATGAAGCATAATATTACAAACTGGGGCTTAACCTGGTGCAGTTTTTTTACACCATGTCCAGTTATTTTGAGAAAATACTTGGTGGGTCCAAGTGATACAAAGAAAAGTTAATTTCTCATTTTTCTTTAATATATATGCAGGCCTTTAAACAATAGGCCTACAGACAATCCTACACCCTACCTGCCGGCCTTTACATAACAGGCCTAGAGAAAGAAATACACCGTACCCATGGCTTTTTATTGATTAATAGAATAGTGGCCTCCCCCTAAAGAGTAAAATCAACCTGAACAGAGTTCAGATGAAAGCTCGATGCGTGACAGCTATTTTTTTCTTCAGTATTATTAATATAAAACATGTGGAGTTGGGGGAGGGCCGGTTGTGAAGAGGAAGCAGGACACACTGAAAGCAAAATATATATAAGAGACATTTATTATATACTGGTCTACACAAAATGTGTTCCCTTATCAGCTCTAGTTTTTGAGATGTTTCATTTTAAATCATGAAGCATAATTATGGTTATTTAAAGAAAGTTTGCTACATGAAAATGTGCTTAATTATTTATCAAGGGCACAGATTTACTGAACGTTTTGAAATATTATTCTACATAAATGAAGCTCCTTTAGTAAGACAAGATAGGATCTTTCAGGATAATCCCAAATAAGATTCCAACAAAAATCTCCATCATATGTGCATTTTAAGTTACTTGGTATTTGGTGGCTGTTGCATGGATATTTTATTGGGAAATCTTTCACATTATCTTCGCCTACTGTTTTCTGGACAGCCATTTAAGTGAATGGAAGAATATTTATCACATCAAGAACAAATGAAGAATTAACATATGATTTAATATCATTCATTTCTGAACTGTGGACCATCAAAATTCAAACTTTTTTAAATTGGGTGAAAAATAAATTTCAAGTCCACTCAAATCGCTCAATGGTATTTTGAAAAAAGCGTATTTATCTTTTCAAAGGCTGAAGAAATGGCTTTGTATTTTTCTTTCAACATGGGGATGGAACGATTGGAAAAGAACCATAATTATTGTTCTCATTGATGATAAGAACAAATTAAAAATGGATTGGCAGTTGATGAAAAGACACCAAACACATGAGTTATATTCTGAAAGATCAAAGTTCTTCAGAAACTTTATGATATCATTTCAAGATACTAAATTCTTGTCTTCTGTAAATTGGAAGCTAATCCTTCTCTCGCTTTAGATGAAAATAAATGTGTGTTATTTTCAAACTCAGTACACATTTCCGCCATATTGAAAATAAAATCTATATTTAGCTGTTTTTACCAGATCAGTCTCAGAAGCTTTGGAAATTAAAATTTATGTGGTCTAATGCAATTATGATTTGCCATCTAAATATTTTGCAGATAATAACGCAGAATAAATTTGAATTTTGTCCTTTGAACATAACAAAGATGAGCAGTGCCTATTTTAAAAGAAATTAGACAAATGTCTTAGTACAAACACAAAATTGTTGTAATTTAAAAACAGACATTTCCCAATTAAAAAAAAAAAGTTTTTATGATATCCGAATTCAGCAAAAGATACCTAATAAGACTCATATAGGGCAAACTAATTTTTTTTATAAATTCAACTGTCTCTTAAAAAATAGAGCTGTTACAATAAATATGATGCGATTTTCAGAATAAGAACCCCAAATAAAACTAGCAGCAGACTTACAACTCAAAGCACCGAGAAATAAGGTTTTTTTTTTTTTGGCTTGTGTTAATATTTTTTAAGAATTAATTATGATGCAGATCCTGAAATTTATCAGTTCAACCTACCTTACCTATAGTCTATAAAAATGTGAAATACATCAAATTTTTTTTTAAAATTATGTAATATATTAGCTCCAGTGGTTCTTAACCTTTTTGGAGGTACCGAACCCCACCAGTTTCATATGCGCATTCACCGAACCCTTCTTAATAGGAAAAATAAAATATGATTTTTTTTCCTGATTTTTTTTGGGCCTCCGCCAACCCCTGAGACTGGCTCACCGAACCCCTGGGGTTCGATCGAACTCAGGTTAAGAACCACTGCTCTAATCAAAACTGTTTATACAGTATAAATAAACATCTGATATATAAATATGATTAGCTATAATACCATCATATAGTATCAAAGCTGAAATGCATTCCACTTAGTCAATTTTTTAAAAAGTATTACAAAATCAATAAATGATATGCATTTTAAGTGTTTCTCTCCTCAACTCTTCTATTTATTTTAAATTATCTTAGAATCCACTCACCCTTCAGCAGTGAGTAGCCATTTCCTCGTTGCTGTTTGCTTCCAGTTAAAATATAATGATGACCAGTGGGTTGTAGCTGGACCAAAGTGAATGACAGAACAATGGGAAACCATTGATGGTGATGCTGATCTAAGGTCAGTTGTTTCAAAAATAATGTTGGTCAAGTCTATCAAGAAATAAAAATGTCAAAAGTCATTTTTTTTTAAAACAAACTTGTATCTATTTTTCTAATATAAAAAAAAATGCTTGTAAACAAAGGAATTTATTTGTCTTTTTGGATAACCTTTTCAACACTTCATTATTTTTTTTCAAACAACATTTTTTAAAAATTGATATCAATATATATGAGGCACACTTATTTTAGTTGAGAAATTAAAATTCCCATTTTTTTTTTTTTTATATTGAGGTAAGAATTAAATTTTAGCAAAATATATAGTGCACACTTGTTTTAGATAACAAAAAGACAAAAACTATTTTAAAATTTTTAATTAAAAAATTTTGATGGAGTAAATTATTAAATTTTTAGGTGGGATAATTATGAACTGATTAACAAAACTTTATTGGGCATAATTTTGGTCCTTTATTTCAGGAGAGTGACTTGTTATGAAATATAATTAAATGTTAAAATGATCTTAAAAACTGCAGATACAAATTGAAAATGGTCATGATGAAATGAAATTTCTAATGGCAATATAAGTATGAGCTTGCTTAGCTGGAACAATGAGCTGGTCATATATGATCCATTTCTGCTTTGAATATCTAAATTACCTCAGATATCTTGCTTTTGTAAAATATTTGTTTAGAAATTTATGATTTAAAAATATAATTAGCTGACCCCTTACCTTTCAATAAAACCCCCTCCCCACTTCCAAGAGAGAGACGTTTCTCATTATCCAGCATAGTTTTAAGCCCATCTGTCCAGCAAGGGTCAAGATGTCCATCCATCACAAGCCAGCGTTTTAAAATAGAAGGGAGCTCAGCTTGGTATTTAGCATTCTTTTTCTCTGGGCCTGTCATGTTCTGAATAAAGGCAATAGTGGCCTGACACATGGTGTAAGAATCTCTCAGAACTTTTTCCAGCAGGCCACACTGCCAAACGCCATCTTCAAAACTTCCCAACAGCTGTCAGATTTAACAGCAAGAATAATTAAGCTAAACTTTTTATTGTAACGAAGTGTAAATCAATTTTCATTCATTTCAAGAATATTGGGCTTCAATTTAATTTTTTAAAATTAATTATCAAGACAATAAACATAGGTTATTAAATAAAACTACTGAATAAATTGTACATTGAGATTTTGATCTTGCTTTTTGAACGAAAAAAAATATTGACAACTTAATTCTATCAAATTTTCAGCCCCTACCAACGAAAATCAGTTTTTCCTGTTTTTCAAGGGGAAGATGAAGGAAATACGATGACACTCATTTCACAAAATAAAATTCCTAATAACTGCGCTAAATGAGATTCATAAAAATACTGCAAGTGCGTTTGGTGCATAATATTTTCTTTTGCTCTTCTGAAATAGTTGGTTAAATAAATCTACGATGTAAAAGCAGGCGGGACATTAGAATATTAATAGCCTATCAAATAAAATTATTAAATGATGAATATAAAGGATTTGTTTAATTCTAGAAATATATAAATAAAAGTGAACAAATCAGTAGCACCTGGTCAGGAGTCATTGCCCCAGGAAATAGATGGACCACATCAATCTTGGAATATTTAGCAAAATCTTGTCCATCTTTTCCTGTAAGTGCCTAAAGAATTTTTAAAAAATTATTTTTTTTGTTGTTTTTTTTGCATTGTCAATATCTATATATATTTGTATTAACAATATAAACATTATTCCATTGTCACTAAGGATCAACTTTTTCACTTTTTGTCCTTTTCATATTTTCAAGAGCAGTCCTGAACTCTACAACACTACTAATACAGTAGGCTTTGGGTTTCAATGATTCCATTGAGGGAGACTTTTTATAAAGTTTATATTTAATGGGTTTTTTGTTTTAGCCTAGAACTGCAGAAGCCTAAATTGGTTACATTTAAGATTGCTTAGTGCAAAAGTTGAAAATTAATTTATATTCTTTACCTTGAAATTAGATTTGTAGTTTGCAGGTAAATAATTTTGAGAATCTGGTTCATCTTTGGTCTGGGTGGTTGAATACATTTTGTAATTGAGCATGTTTAATGCCCTGGCAAGTGTGTGATGTGCTTTTGTCTTGCCGCTGCCTGGCTGGCCAGACAGAATGACTGTATTTGAGGTTTCTAAAGATGTGTACAGTTCAAGAATCTGGGATGAAAGATCAATTAAAACTGTCATCATTTTATCAACATAAAAAATTAAATTTGATAAACAGATATTAGAGCTTCCTTCACAACACCACTAAATAACGAGGTGAGTAATTAATGTAATATACTCTCAATTCAAAGATGTCCAAAGAATGTGAGTATGTCGGTTAACATATTTTAGAATCCCTAGCACCAATGTTTGATAATTGTAAGATAATGACATCAACAAATCATTAAAACCAGAACTGAAAATTTGCTTCATTCTTTGAAAAAAAAAGTTATATTTCTTTAATTTTGAATTCTTTTGATGTAAGTAAATAAAGTTAAAAGTTAATTTATGAAAACAATTGCATCCTTAGATCAACATATTTAATTTTGGTATTAAACAAGCATCAAAATATAAATTTATAATTTTTTACCTTGTTGCAAAACATGTCATTGGATTCCATGTGGTCCTCTTTAAAGATTTCCAAAACTGCAGATTTGACTTTTTGGTCAAATAAAGAGGAATTATTGTTGACATGCTGGCTGGTAGAAATGGGAAATATTTGACGCGAAATGTCAAGGAACATTGTAAATTCAGCATCACTTTCTGTTCCAGGGGTTAACAACTCTCTAATGGCAAACACCAGGCTGTCTTCCTCAGTTTCAGCCACTGAGCACTGATCCTTCTTGTGACTAGTACCTACTGAGAGCATAGTTTGAAAAATGTGTGCTTGAAACTTTTTATGATGCAAATTTTAAAATACAACAAGGAGCAGCTATTACATAATTTATTGTAATCTAAAGATCCCATGAAGTGGGAATAGAACTTAAGCATATATGAATCACATCTACCCCTCCATTGTTACCTATCAATTACCCATCCCAAGTTGGAGCAGACTTGAACTATGTTGGAGTGGCTATAACTGTCAACGCTTCTTACTATTAAGTAAAACCAAAAAAAAAACATTTCTTGTGTGGATAATAATTTGTGTTTCAATGGTAGAGATTCCTAATTACCTTTTTATAGAAGCCACATAATAATTTTTAATTTAACTTTTTGGTTAAATGTTGATAGTATATAATGAGGAAGACAAAAAGGATGTTGTGGAAAGGCAATAGAAATACATGTCTAGAATGATAACATGCCATTTAATAAATGGTGAAATGTTAAAAATTCATAGCAAATTTCACATAATGTTGTTTTGTTTTTTTCTTCAAATATATAAGAGATGTATGATACAATGTAATCTTTCATTCATGTATTTTTTGTAGTTTGTTTTTGGTATTGCTTGGCATCTCAAAGAAATCCTGTGATGTCATAGCTAAAACTTACATTCTGCTTTCTCCTTGTGCACTATTTTCTCTTGATAGACAGCATTCATTCTCTTGGCTGAACCCAGATACAGAACTTGTTTCATTTGTCTTAAGTTTATCCTTTGTTGTTGATGTCTCCAGAGCTTTATAAAAAAAATTGTATAAATAATATTTTATGAATTAAAAATTTGATCCCAACATTTAAAATTGAGTTATAGACATTTAAAATTTTTGATTATGCTTTTAAAGCAGAAAAATATAAATTTATCAATTAGATAAAATTCACTTGGAGCCTGATGAAAAAAACACACGAAAATTTAGTTTAAAACTAAACTCTACCTGTGTCCCAAGATGTTTGAAAAGAAGCACCATTCTCCTGGCCAAAGAGTTATACTCTCTGAATCCATAACTCTGGAGATACACTGATACAATGTGCTCAAGGTCAGGGACAATCAGGGCACAAGGTCGCATCAAAAGCTGAAAATAAAAGACTCCTTTTTATACATGGGGTTGTAGATTACTTTTATAAAGTTAAGTTGCTTCTTAAGCAAATGACTTTTAAAATAATATTTTTTGAATTAAAAATTTAATCCCAAGTTTTAAAATTGAATTCTTAATATAGCCATTTTAAAGAATTTTGTTATCCCATTGGAATTCATATATTGATTTGAAATCATCATATGCTTAACTAAAAGAGGATTGACTGAAAATATCAGACTAAAACTTTAGATAGTCAAAATTTAAGTAAATTTTTTTTTAAGCTTGTTAAAAATGTGCCAAAATAGTTTTTAAATAAACAATGAGGCATCAAGATTTTAGCAAAGCATATTATGGTCTTAAAGATAATAATTTCAACTAATAAAATTTGTGATGTTCTCAGTCTAAAGGTGAATCCTGGTTTGGCCTTGAAGATGCTAGCACAATGTTCCATTATTTTTATGATAACCTACCCTAAAATTGTAAGGAATCTCCAATGAAGCTGGATTAGAAGCATCAAGAGTCATGAAGCATCCAAAGTTTGAACTGGCTTGGAGTAGTTTTCCATTGAACATCACATTCCCAAGCATTCTGTGCATATAACTTGGGTCAGATGTCAACTTGGAAAAATCCAGCTGGGATCGTCTTCTGTTGGCTTTCACATGCTCTGTTGATCATTATTTGAAAACATTCAGTCATTTAATTCACATTGAAATAAGTGCCAGTCTTTTAGGTTTCACAAGAGTAGACAGAAATGGGTAAATTCCTGTAACTTTGCAAATAATAAGGTATCATTTTTGAGCTCTCAAATGGTACTTTATCTAGCCCACCCCCAAGTACTTCTTTACATAATATTTTTGGCACAAATTTTACTGCTCATATAGATACCAATTGTATTTTTAATACCATGATCCAAGAATTATTATAACAACATTCCGAAGCAAGAAGAAGGAAATAAATATGAATGAAATACAGTACTTTGATAGTAAGGAAGGAAAAAAATAAGCTTTCTACAATAGAGTGCAAGTTTTAATAGAAAAATATCCAGGTGGAGATCTAAATATCATAATCAGAGTTCTAAATGCTTAGAATGGGAAAGAAAATAGAGCATATGAAGAAATTATGAGACACCATGGTTTAGGAGACAGAAATAAAAACTGTGAAAGACTGGCAGACTTCTGCACTGCAAATGAGCTCATCATCTAATTTTGGCAAGACTTAAGCTAAAATGAAGAAAAACTGGGAAGAGCCAGCTGCTAGATCACTAATATACAACATAGCACTTCTGGCAAACAAGCAAAAACAACAGGAATTCAGTGTTACCTTTAGGCACTGCAAGACCAAACAGATGATGACCAGAGACAACTTCCATGGAAAAACATAAAAATCCATAACATTCACTTGCAATGAGGTATTAGGAATGGTGAAGCACAAAAACAAAGATACGCTCTCATTCAACATGTTAAAAAAATGAATGAGAGGAAATAAATGAAGACTACCTGGGACAGAGAAAACAAAAGTACAGGAGATATAGAATAGAAACCAATGGAAGGGTAACAGAATTAAAAAGGATAATAGAAGTTAAATAGATAGTCTTAGCGTATACAGCAGAAGAAGCAGCAAGAAAGGGAAACATCAAAGACCTCCATGTAATTTAACAAGAAAGCTCTCAAGAAGATACAAGAAGCCAGAGAGACCAGCTACAGCCAAGGGAATAATGAAACAAAAGAAGAGCAAAAAAATTAGTTGAGGAATTAATTACTAGATCTAAATAGACACTTCACCCACAGAAATACCAGATATACAGCCAGCAAATGAAGATTTAGAAAACGATGACAGTGCCCCTAATAAGCAAGAAATAGCCCTGGCTTCAAGTAGCTTGAAATTGGGAAAGTGTCTTGATCAGATGACAACTCAACAGAGATGATGAGATGATGCTCTATTTGAAAAGATGTGGGAAGAAGAGAGAGTTCCAAAAGATTTCAAACATCAAAACAATCCTACTCTATGGAGCTGAAATTGGAGAGCCACAGCAAGCACAGACCTTCAGAAACACTTAGAAAGATCCTGAACATAAAATGGCCAAACAGCATCATCAACAAAGGCTTAATGGAAAGGACATACCAAGAGACTATTGCTGAAGACATCATAAGAAGATGATTGTGGTGAATAGGGTACACTCTTTGTAAAGCCCCAGATAACATCATCAGACAGTGCCTAACATGGAATCGACAGGGAAAAGGGAAGGCCCAAGTATCCATGGAGATGTGAGGTAGAGGCAGACACACAAATTACGGGATTGACCTGGAAGTAACTGGAAGAGAAAGCACGGGGTCAAGATGAATGGAAAATTCTTGCAGACTGCCTATGCCCAAGGTGGCTTAAAAGGCAGAAAGTTAGTAAGCAATAAGCCATGGAACTTCACTCCCTTAGTGACAAAATCGACTTTAAGAGTGATTATTTAGATTTTGTAACAGCTGCGGTGCACACTGATAAATTCTGACAGACCGGGAAACAAATGAATTTTTATATCTTTCTTTCATGTTTTTGAAGAAGAGTTGATTTTAGTTAATGTCCAAAATGTAACTCAACAAAACTAGTCAAATTCAAAGAAAAATGTAAATAATTGATATTTGCAACTGTCTTGTAAAACTAATTCTTTATAGACGATTCTGTTTTAAAACAATTTATCTGGTTCAAAATATAATTTCTTGTCAAGGAAAAAAATTCTAATCATGAATAAATATGAAGAACTTGCCATAAAACAATGGTGGAGGTTTGTTTGTTTTGTACAAATCTGATTCCTTGATTTTGATCTCTCTTTCAATGGAGTGACGCCTCTGGTCCCTCTCAGCTACCCATGTATCTTCAAAATATGTAACTAGACCTTTCTCCTAAGTGATAGAAATTCACAATAAGATAAGATTAGCAATAATTTCTGTATGAACATATCCTCAAAATAAAATGCTAAAATATTTTATCTCTACATTTATAACTTAGCATAATATTTTTCAGATTGAGGGTAATAGAACTTGGTCTACCAGAGCTGGTTTAGCAATGCTGAAAAATGGTTCATTTAAGCCTGTCCAATAAACATATTTTATTGTAGGCTTACATTAAACCCATGAGGAACTGTTCTCTGGCGTTCCATGGCAGGAGTCATTTGTTCATCTGGTTTAGGCAAGGGATGAAGGGTGGTCAATGAGTTGCGTCGTATCATCTTGTCTCCCATACCAGCTTTCTGGTAAGATAATGAATAAAATGAACTTTTTTAAAAATCTTGCATAATTCAGGTTAGTTTCAGTGGGATAAAAATTATAGCAATTGCACCCATCTTTAGAGAGTCTCAAAGTTAACTTAGGGCAACTATTTTGTAATTTCAGTCAGTCTTATAGATTTGAAAACAATGCTGAAGTTATTGTTTTCTGCATAGTCATTAAAAGAAAGCAAAAAGAATTGTTATAAAACCATGTTCTCATTATAATTTTTAAAAAAATAGTACTAATGTTATATAAAATTTAGTAATAAATCATTGATATTCAAACTATATACAGCTCAATGATTTATTTGTTTATTGGAGGGCAAAATTTTGACCTCACAATAGGGTAAGATGATTGTTTTAAAATATAATCACCAATTAAGCAGCCATAATGCTATCAAAATGAAATACCTCCTAATTATGAGAATCCTTCCCTTCACATAAGGAAAGCTTACATTATTTATAGAGATTACACAAGTTGAAAAAATGAAAAGCAGATCATTTAAGACCATTCTAAGAAAGATGTGAAAAACATTCTACACTTGAAAGCATGAAGGATATTCTATTGAAGAAAGCTATAATGAATAGTCAATATTTGAAAGCTATTTTGAGTATTTTGTTACAGGTTCTATTAATTACCACACACAAAATTATACATCATTGGGTTCTAATTACATTAATTTTTTTAACTGAGTTGTAGCAGGGTTATAATTGTAATTTAATTAAATAATATATTAGTCTTAATATTACAAAGTAAAAGACCCTTTAAGCAATATTCAAAATGCAGTCAGGCAACTAAATAGAGGTATAAAATGAAGGAAAAAAGATTCAAGTTTGGTAACAATGGAAATAAAACTGAAATAAATAACGTTTTTAAAAATTACAGCTATAACCAGCCCCACAATTCTTTTGATGTGTTAAGAAAAAATAGTGTTTAAACATTTTTAATATAAAAGAGGTCTAATTCTGTGCTTCAACAAAATAGTAGAGAAAGTATAGAATAGAAAAATGAAGCAACATAATAAATCTCGATATCTAATATTACTTAAATTTCTTTCATTTTGATTGCTATAAGGATATTTATTATTAAACATTGTTAATACATATGCTTATTGTCTATTTTAATGATATGCAGAATGAACTATATGAACTACTTTAATATTCACAGTACAAAAATTAAAGATTCTACAATGGAATTAAGCGTAGAATATAAGAAACTTTTTTATGAAAGGCTAATGTTCTAACATCCAGAGCCGTAACAAGGTGAAAGCAGATGAGGCAATGGGGCCTAGGGTGTGAAAACTGATGGACATAGAAAAGAGAATCTTAAATTTTTTTAATTCTGATTTTATCCTGAATTGGTGGTGTAGTTGTTTTTTTTTTAACAATTGCCTTGGCTACAAGAATTACTAGTTATGGCTCTGCTCCCATCTAAAACGTCCTGCATAAAATATTGAAACATACCATAGCAAAAACCTGTAGGTAAATATATTAACAAAAATTTTTTTAACATAGCAAATATCAACTGAATATTTCAAATGAGTTTCCTCATGACAGGAGATATGAAAGGAAATTTTTTAAATATTAAAACAAGAATTCCACTTACCCTAACTCTTGACTTATAAATTCAATAATTATCTTTCATAAGGGGTATCTCTGAAACGTTAACCCTCTATATTTAAGTTTCATATTCTGTTAACACATAAAATGCATAGTGTTTTCAAATATTACAAAAAGATGCCATTTTTTATGCGAACGTAATGTAATTGTTCAAACTTAATATTTCCAGATTAATCTTCATTTTTTCCTCCATGTCTCACCTTATCAAAGTGGGAGTGTCCTCTGATTTGGTACTGGTTCTCACTTGTCAGGTCCAGTGTTCTCAAGGCTGTCTTCAGGTAGTCCAACTGTTGACCAGTGACAGACATGAGACCTGCAAATGTTTAAATTAACAAAGACTATGAAATTCTTTTTTTTTTTAATTAAAAATTGTTAAATTATTATTAATAATAATAAAGTTTATTTAAAAAACACGCTTCATCCCCAAGGCTCGAAGCGCGGTACAAAGTAATATAATTTACCACATTTAAAACAAACGCAACACTACAAAAACTAATTACAAGCATACCAAGGCAAAGTCTTTCTACCATTTCAACCCTAAGCAACACAGCCAATATGCATTAAATGGAAGATATGGTAGACAACCATCCCAGAATGTGTTTGCGAAATGGATGTGTCTTTAAATCGGTTTTAAAGGACTCTATTGTCAGGTTGTTTCTGAGATCGACAGGAAGGGCGTTCCAAATTGTTGGACCAGCAAATGCGAAAGTGCGCTTTCCGTAAGTCTTAAGGCAAACACGTGGTGTCGAGAGTTTGCCACTATCGGATGAGCGGAGTTGTCTAGTGGGTACATAAGGCGTCAGCAGCTCTTTCAGATAGGATGGCGCCAGGTCATGTAAGCAGCGGTAGCACAACGTTGCGATTTTGTACTCAATGCGAGCATGGACCGGCAGCCAATGCAACTCTCTCAGAAGTGTTTTAGCATGGTCGAACTCGCGTTTGCGAAGAACAATGCGAGCCGCATTATGCTGTGCTATTTGGATTTTATCCAGGAGCGTAGCTGGAAGACCCACCATGAGAGCATTGCAATAGTCCATGCGTGATAGCACAAATGCAGACATCAGCCTCTTTGTTGCATCAATTGTTAGGAAGGGCCTGATGTGACTAATCCTGCGCAGCCCTAGAAAAATCGCCTTGCATAGCATGTTAATGTGCACGTTTTAAAGGCTTTTTTCCTTTACTGCTTTTTCACAAATTATTAATGAGGCTATTTTGTTTTCTTGATCCAATTTCATCTATCTTTTGCTAATCAAAAATATATCTTTGAGAGCTAATCATTTAGATATTTCACACATTAAATCCCCACAGTAGCAAATGTCAACCAGTTTTTCAGGTTTCAAAATTGCCACGATTAAGTTTCTTGAATGATTAAAACAAAACAATAATAATAATTTAAACAAATAAAAAATTAAACTTATGCTTCTCTCTTTTTTTTTATTTTTTTTTTTTACAAGTTATTAATTTAAGACAAATCACCACTCCTTTAACAAAAGCTGTGAAAACTAGCTCGCCAAAATAATTTATTTTTATGTTTATTTTAATTAGCAAAGATATGGAAAAGAACTACAAATATATAATTCACTGACCTGTGGTGAGTCTGTCAGTATCATCAAATAGAGCCCAGCATCCTGACTGCACCATACCCATCATGTACTGGAGCATGACAGGAAGTGTGATAATTTCACTGCAACTGATGGTAAACATGCAGCGGCCCAGAAGCTAATGTCAGAAAGAATGTAAACATTTCTTGCACGTTTTAAAGGCTTTTTTCCTTTACTGCTTTTTTACAAATTTAATATTTAATCATCGAATAAATTAAAATAAAATATATTTTCTAATTTAATGTCTAGTACGAAAGTATAGAATAATTTCTTTATTTTTATAGTAGGCTTTACAATGATTTCAAATTTCAAAGGGGGGGGGGGGGGGTTGTTGTTAAGTAGCCTCTTTACCTTGGCTAATTCCCTTATAGTCTCTGTCTTGCCTGATCCATTGGGGCCTATCAATGTGCCACACTGAAATGTCTTTAATGCATGGCCCATGGTCAGGAAAGCTCTTTCTGTCAAAGGTGTCACTACCAAGTGAGCACACGGACCCAAATACTCATAATCATAGGTGAATACATGACCCAGTTGTTGAACATAACAGGTGCTAAACTGGTAGTCATTAGAGACCGTTGTTTGAGTGCGGGTTAGCTTTGGGGCCTCTGGGCCTATGGAAAATAACAAATTTGATTTATGCTTTTTAGCTCAGTAAGCTTGATTCTTAAATTAAATGCCAAATTAAACAATGTTTATATATTTATCAATGAATCATAAATTTTGTGAAAAATAGTAAATATTTAGTTGTTTTTTTTTAACAATAAATTATCCCCCCTTAAATTACCTTCCTTGGAGGTAAAATATGAAAACTATAGACACACTTACAAAATGATATAAATGGATCAATTTAATTACCTTTATCCCTTTTTCTCCTAGTTGTAGGATTTCTTCTAGGACTCCTGGTATTTGTTGTTTCTGGTGGAATCTCTGTCACCACAGTCTTGGCCCTTAGAACATTCCTGATGTCCATGCGAAATTTCAGAATTTTCAACCAGTCAAATGCTGAATCTGTAATCTGATTACTGTCCAACAAACCTGAAATAATTATTTGTAGAAAACGCTGATGAGCTCCAGGATTTAGGTTCTCTTGAATTCTCTTGAACCCCGGGAAGTTAAAATGTTTTGGTGGCTCAGTTCAAAGCCATACAAGTGTAAGGCTAACAAACGAATATATCTTTGACATATTTGGTGCCCACTGATGTTGTAGCCTAACCCCTAATCCCTCTTTAAAATTGCTGATCTAAACAAAATGACTAGAGCACAGCATTTTTTCACTGAGCTATACTGCTGCATTATAACTTTAAAATGTGACCATTCTTTAATAAACAGGGAATTCCATGCAACTGTCTTAGGCACAACATTACCTAGGCTTTTTTCATTCTTTCAATTACTTTAAACTGATTTCAACAGTCCATGACAACAACAAAAATCTCATTGCATTTTAAATATTTTTATAAGCCGGGTATACATTGGAACTTATTTTATATTGGGTAACTTACCTTTCATGATATCCTTTTGATAGATGCCCTGAATGAGCAGGCCTGAAATAAGTATCTCAAGCCTCTGCCTGTCATATTCAGCAATGCCTGGATAAGTCTGGGATTCTTGCAACACATCCACAAGTTGCTCCATCTTTGAACATAGCATTGCCCTGCACACACAATAAAAGCTTTGTAAAGCGAAACAAATTTAATGTATACATTTTTTTTTTCATTTTCGAATTTTAAAAAGATGTGGGGCAAATCTTTCTACTTTTGTTGTATGATTTCATTTGAGAGAAATATTCTGAAATAATTTTTTTTTAAACTAATCAATGTTTGTTGTATTCTATGAATTATGTGACAACACCAGCAACATTAGACCCATTTTCTCAAACAAATTTCATATAGCACTACAGCTTATAATGTGTATGGTGCTTTAAACAAAAAAAAAGAACAAACTTGAGATTGCGCAGCTCTTCCTTGTCCTGTCTGTCTAAAGCTTTGGTCATTCCTCGCTCCCAGATTATTGCTTCTGCTGTAATCACAGACTGAACTGGAAATCTTAGAAGCCAATGGCAGAAAGTGGATTTGATCTCTTTGTTGATCTCTTCTTGTTTTGTTGTTCCTTTGGCCAATTTGGCAAGCTCTTCTAATACCAGTGTGGGTTGTCTTGTAACTGTGATTTTATTTAAAATAAACCCAATATGTAACTTATTAAACCATTTGTACATGGACACACATTAACAGACCTAAAATGTAACTTATTAAAACATTTGTTCATGGACACACATGGACACACATTAACAGGCCTAAAACCAAATAATTACTGGATCTAACAGAGGGTCATCTTAAAGCAGTGCATCCAAGGAGAGGATTGATTTGATTTAAATATGGATCTAGATTTTTTTCAAAACTTATTTGTGCAGTTGATTTTAAATTAAAATTCTATTTCATTAAATATATTTTTTTCCTCCTTATTTATTCCATCAAAGATTTCATTGTTTAAAATATTAAATTATTTTAATTTAATAACAGAAATGTATGACTAAATTTTCAATGTAAGACACTACAGCAACGTTTTTTTGTGCTCTTGCCCACAATTACTTACCTTCCTCAATTCTAGCCTGAACACAAGCCTTCAATGCAATGGTCAGTGTGTTCTTCAGAACTTGATTGAGATTATACAGCCACTTGGGGGCAGATGCAACTGGTTCAACTTTGGTATACAATGGAAGCTCTTCACCATGAGATCCTTGAATACTGATCACTTCCAACTTGTCACCTTCACAGTGGTAAAACAGTAATGTGCACTTTTTATATGCCCTGAATACATCAGGTTAATTCAAATATTTTCATAGCAGAGAGAATTTCTTATTAAGCTGGAAACAGTCTGCAGTTTTCATTGGCTGACTGCTATATGATGAAGTTCCCATATATTCTAAAGCCAAAGATAAATCAAATCTTATGTTTAATTTTTACAATCTCTGACATTATTAAATCCAGTTTTTAAAGAAATCAATTAATACGCAATTCTACTAATCTATGAATTAATTTTCTTACTATTTAGTGACACATCTAGTTGTGTTTGGAGGCCCCCTACAGCTGCAGGAAGTGCAAAGGTCATGCTGTTCACATTAGGAAAACATTTACGCACATAAGGTAGGAGAGCTTGTGGGTTCCTGGTGACAGATAGAATGTCCACTACCTCATCATTGCTCAAGAAATACAAGCGATGGAATCCAGTCCGAGCTTTTTCAATGAATATATCAATGTCCTTTAGAATTTCTTCCTAAAATAGAATTTTAAGACTCAATGAAAATTGTGAGTTTCATATTTTATTAATAGCTAAGTATATTCAGGTATGGTTCATATTGCATTGTAAAACTAATTACATTCAGATTTGCTGATGATTTAATGTTATTGACAATATGTTGGGGGAAAAGTTATTGCCTATTTAAATAGCATTAAAGTAATCTCTTATTTAACACAAATGTACCTGCTCTTTAATGAGAGACTGCAAGAGTGTTCTCAAATTGTCTCCCTGTAACAGTCTATAGCCTCTGTCACCTCTGCGTCTGTTGACTACAGACATGCATTTTGAATCATTTGATGATACACGCATCCAATCCTAGAGTATAAGAAAAAGGTATTGTATGAAAATAAGTCATTGACATTGAGCACACCAAAATCATCCTTTAAAACAACAATATAAAATATCACAATAAATTAACAAGCAGATTGTATAACTAAAAACAAAGTTCACTTCAAATTAAAATTAAATAACACCATGAAATTGAAATGGGGGTGAGGGGATTATTTTCAATGAATTATTAGTTTACAGATATATTCCAATTATTAGTCAACTTTGATAGTTTTCATTTCAATCAAATGTAATTATTTCCTTAATATACAAATCAGACATTTTACATAATTCTGCACCTTAAATTTGTTGTGAACTGCTTCAAATTTGAAGGCTTGCTGGGAGAGTTTGTTGTACAGCTCTGGTTGCTCAAAAATTTTCAAAAGATATTGCCACTGTTGATAAAATATTGAAATCCATTATTCAAATATAAACCAAAAATGAAACGTTAGCCTAAATAATGTTTTTTTTTACATTTTTCAAGGGTGATATTCAGTTAAGAATAACTTCCTTGACCAAAGCCAAGCTGTTTTCAGATGGAAATCTATGAGGTTTACCTTTTTCTGACATTCTAGCCACAGGTCAGTGATTTCATCAATATCTCTGAGAGCTTGACACCAAAATTCAACTTGGTCCTTCATATCTCCCCCATGGGGTGAGGCCATCATGGAGTCCACAGTGATACGACTGTCCTGAAGCAGGGAGAAATGAATCAAGTTAGATTATAACATTTTCTGATAATTAACTGAATACATTCTAAATTATTTTTTATCAAAATTATTTTTAAAACAGCAAAATATAAATTATGCAATTAACAAAAAATTAAGAATACTAAAATGCAAAACCCCTCTTACTTCCAAGTTATATTTTAACTCATCTACTTCAATGAGAATATAGAAATCATCATTGGCTATGTCCAGTCCTCTCTGCACACCAGCCTGAGCTGCTGCTCTCTCCTGTCGATAGCGCTCTAACTTGCTTGTACGAACATTCCCAGATGTAATCCTTTTGGTTTGTTCTGTGGAAATATCAAATCTGGTTATTTCAGTATTGAATGGAATCCATGAAAATTGAATTCTCTTAATCAGTTGTTGAACTATAATGTGTGAACTCTCATGATAAAACCCTGTGCATAAAATTAATACTTATTTCATTCTTGGGAGGAAGTCTAAATTTTTATTTGCTTATGCTTGTCAGGAAGCTAGGACATGCCTGGTTGTAGACCGATCTGTCAAGCAATGTTGCACATGCAGCAATTTCAATAGCAAAAATTTATGTTTTAATTTAGTTTGTTTTTAAGTAATAAAACAGTTTCTCATTCATAAAAAAATGAACCTTTTGTAAACATGCTGTCAGGAATATACTTGGCTAGCTGGAATTGTCTCTCTTGCCAGAAACTAATGATATTTTGAAGCCGTTGATCAACATTGTTCTCTGCTACAGCTCCCATGTATATTGTGTGGATGAGATCTGAATGTTCTGCAAGGTTGTATAAAATCAGTTCTTCAACAGTCAGCTGGTGGCTGGGGTCGTACGGTACATTTAAGCCCAGGAATATGCTGTGCCAATGTCTTTCCTAGAGTACAATGTAACAAAAACTACAAGTGAGTTTATGATTTAATGACAAAAAAAATTTTAACAGAGTAGTTACATATATTAGTTCATAAATTATTAAAATTGAAAAGGTAGTCATGAATAAATTTCTCCAGATGGGACTGGTAGCTACATTATTTTGTTGTTGTAAATAAACCACTATTGCAATCCTATTAGCTGTTACAATAATTTTTTTTATATTTCACTTGTTTATTGATTAACTTTTTTTTAAAACATTTGAGATATCAGGAGAAACTAATATTTGAACTTAATTATGTTCTTTTATTCTTTTTTAGTGAAAAGATGTTTAGGCTGATCAAAAAAAATTAATTTAAAAAAAAATTTAGGATAATTATTGAAAATAAAATACAAATCTAATGATAAACATACAAAATAAAT